CCGGGCACCGGGGCTGCTGCGGCCGCGCAGCCACGCCGCAGCCGGTACCTGCTGCTCTGCGGGCGTGTGAAGAGTCACTTCAGCCAAGATAAGCGTAGAGTTAGCGAGTGATGTATTTGATTTTGTTAAACCAGGAGTGTAATCTCATATATGCACACATGCCCTTGATTTTTTTTTTTTAGTAATTCTGGCTTAAGACTTCTCTGTTTTCCTGCTTTTTCTGTATTTTTATCTGTTCTGTACTCTTTTATCAACATTGTAGGGAAGAACAGGTCATGGGGGAGGGGGACAGAGAAGATGACAGAACGAAATAGCTGAGATGAGGTGTGGAGTCCAGAAAGAGCAGTATTGCCTTTCCCTCCTTCCTTGAATCAGCTTAGGACAGAGACCCGTTCAAGTATATCCCTTAAAATGCAAGCGTTGGTTAAGCATGGAAAACTTGGGGACAGAAATCTGCCAAGTTGTGCAGGCATCGCGCGTGTCCCAAGGCTGGTACTTGCCAAGTGCTGCCTTCAGTGAGAGCAGAGCCCCCTCCTCCCGCTTCCAGGCTGCAAGAGCAGCCATTCACTTACATCTTCAGTTTCTGTCTGGGGGAAAAAAAAAAAAGCCTGCTTAAAAAGCTTTTTTGAGGCTCTAGGTTTGGTTTCTAATAACTATTGCATCAGATATCCTCCGCTGACAAATAGGAGGTGCTGGCTCTCCTGCCACCCTCGCGCTCGTAGGCTCGAGTGCCGCTGCGTGGAGGTGTGTGCTGGCCAGGCAGAGTCATATGTTCTTAGCCTGCTTTTCTCCTTTGGTTATAAGTGGTTTTTTGTTTTTGTTTTTGTTTTTTTTTTCTCTTTTCATTCCTCGTGCCCTTAAGGAATGCCTAAAAAGACAAGACAGGGACTTGTTCCACTGTTCAGTGACCTCACCTGTGCTAGTACTTTTGCCACATGTTGCCAGAGGGCTAAGTGAGTTTACTGATGGTACTTGAAAGAAAATAAAGAGCTCTTGCTGATTTTTGCTGAATTGATTTCTTTTTTTTTTTTCTTTTTGTTTCCCCAGGTGGCTGGAGGCTCAGCCACTTCAGCTTTCTTAGAGGCCTTTCTGAGTCATAGGAAGGTTTGTAATTAACTAGATTTTTTTTTTTTTGAGTAAAACTAGTAGAAAGTATGCTTTCTGGTTCTTGAAACAAAACAAGTTTTTCTTTTCTGTTTCTTACCTTTTACAACTTGAGTTGACCTCAGTTTCAAAGCAGAACATTGAAACACTGACTTCTGAAAATATTACTTGTTAAAAATGTTTTCTTCCTGTCTGGAGCTATCTGCTAATCATGTTGAAACATGGCTTGAGTCTAAACCTGCATTTTCCTTTAACTACTCGCATGAAAATGTGAGATTATTCAAATGAAGCGGTCTCTTCCCCCTCCATTCAGGAAGGGTTCAGTAGTTAAAGCTGAAGTGCAAGTAAACTGTCTACATGAAGAGCGTTGCCAGGCTCTGCCTGTTAGTGTTTAACTGGTGGCATAAAAAAATACAGCTTTTCAAAAATGAAATTTATTTTCATGAAAAAAATCACATTAAAATTATAGGATTTATTAAACTAATAGCCAATAAAATTGTTAACTGTGGGCTTATTAGATTTTCTTTAACTTCCTGAGATATAGACTCTGATTGTATTTTAATATCTTGGGGTATTTTTCTTCTGCATTTCACATGGAGCCAAAGAAAGACAGCCTGACTTTCTCAAGGTGTCAAGAGCTGCACGTAGTTCAGCGTTATCTTTAGACCAATCTGTGGCAAACTTTCATGTTCTAAAAAATCCCAAAATGACTTCTAGTTTTGCTCATAGCCATAGATGTAGCTAGCTAAGATATGGTGGCTGAAGGGGGAGGAGGAGTAATTACTTAGTAGCTGACTACCAAGCAGTAAAAAACACCAACAAACCCCCCCCCATACTATAAAACTAAAAAGGCCATTTCAGACCACTTACCTTGTGTCATCTGAGAGTCCAAAGTGGTTTAGTCCTTACCAATGCATTTTAAAAAAGAGCAGAGAGGATCAGGTTCTGGCATGGAAAAGTTAATAATTAATATATTTTTAAAAATGATGATAAATTATTAATAAGAAAATCACAGTCATCGATACTCATGTCAATACCGGAATGAATGGAAACTCATGTCTTTGAAGCATTTTTTTAATAAGAAATTGTCTTGTGAAATGAAACCAGTAGGATTTAAAGTTTACTCTCAAGTTTTACGGAGGGCAAAACAGGTTTTTTAATGTACTATGTGGGCATTGAAATAATAAGGCTCTCGAGGCCACGTTTAACGAGGGTCATCTTACTCTGTTCGGATCGCCTTGAGCGCAGTGGGTTGCACCGGCAGCGTGGCATCACCTTCGCAATTTGGAGAAATTAATTTTGCACTTTGGCAGACGGCGTGAGGGAAACCATCGGTGCGTCCTGCTGAGGCTCCCACCCGGCGCGGGCGTCGGGCAAGAGGCTGTTAGTCCGCACGCAGCCCAGAAAGTTGCGAGAAACGTAGTGTTTTGGGATTCCAAAGGACGTTTTTGAGGGCAGCCTTCCACTGTCAGTGAACAGGGTCTTTATTTGGCTCTTTTGATCTTAACATTTTGAGGCTCTTCAGCAGAGGGAAGAAAAAAAATCCCTGAATTAAAATACAGAAAAATAAAGGAGGGAATGAGGCAGGGTGAAGACTGACTGCTTGCCTTGTCAGATGCCTTTGGTACTGTAGACGTAAATGCTGTAGGACTGCCTAGATCTACAGTAACTAAACAGCAATGAGTGCTGGTGCAGAAACCACTAAGCAAACAGTTCTGTAGATTCTGCAGCTGCATCTCTTCCCATATGCAAAAACGCAAGGAGATAATTCCTTATGTACTTTAAACCGGAGAAACTTAATTGTTAGAAAAGTTGAGGATCAGCTTAGTGGAGTTATTCCACTGCACGAGGGCAACCAGGTCATTCTTGTTTTTAATAAATGATGGTTGAAGCTGATCAATCATTAGCAAATGTGAAGGGCAGCAGATTTTCCCCCTTTTACCCTCTCGCTGGAACACGGTCGCTATGCAGTTTGCCAGTGCATGTAGGGTCCCAGCCTGTGCTATAGAAAGAGAAGCAAAGCTACTCCTTGCATATCATATCCTGGGGAAAATAGTTAAAACCTTGCCCCACAGAAGTCCATGTTAAACAGGCCAGATGCTTGCGGAGCAGTATTACCGGTGCTTCTGCCCGTCTCTGTGGCACCACCTAGGAGATGGGCGGAGGGGAATTTGCATCCAGGAGAGCAGGGCTTCTACCAGCCAAAGCAGCTGTAACCTCTCCTGGTGTGTATTGACAAGTGCAATTCATTTTGTGGACTACGCAGGCTTCACAGCTGTGCCCCAGTAAAATTGCAGTGGTTTTGTCTGGTCACATAGGTATTTTTTTAAATGCCTGCAACCACGTTTTTTGCGTGTTGTTCACTGCATTATTTCTCCCTTGAAATTTCAATGTGTCTTCTGTCATTTTATCTCCTGCAAAGGAGCCGGAGTTCACAGGGCTGGCAAAGGGCGAGCTGGGCCCATTGCCCATGCCTGCGTGAGAGAAGAGGTAGTCTCATCCTGGAAATTTTAGCTAACCTATGTTACATCCTTCTTAATGGCACCTGATTAAATTAATTCTTCATATGAACATAAAAAGACGTTTCTGCGTCAGTCAGAATAATTAGCCAGAATGTGTCACAATCATTGCTGATTTGTTCACCAAATAGTGCAATCGGATCTTTGACCAGAATAAAAAGAAATTCAATATAACAGAAGTGAGGTAGCTTCAAAGGTTTTTTTTTTTTCCTCTTTCTTTTTGCATACAAATACATATATAAAAATATGTATGTATTTTACAGCACTGTTTACAGTTAATGCTGTGCCACAAAGTAGCCATGATAAATTCCTAGCTGAAACATGGTCTCTGCTTACTTCAGCATTCAAAATGCTAGAAATGAGAACGTTCGTTCTTTCGGACACCAGAAAGAGTTATTGACACGGGGCTGGATAGGACCTTAGGAGGTTGTCACATGATACACGAATACTTAAATGTGAATGTGCACCATTGCTGGGATGGGCGAGGCAAACTGTAGCAAAACGTGGGGCTTGAATCTCTTGGAAGTGCAGCATGGCTGGACTTTGCAGAGATTTGCTGTCTCATTGAGATGGACTTGGAGAGAAAAATGTGCCTAGCAGCATTTTTAAAGTCAGAAGAGCTTTGGTGTCAGGCTGAACTGAAAACGAGATTGACGCAGCTGAAGTAGAATCTGTGCAAAGAAGATGTCTCCCTTCCAAGAGGAGGGATTGACTGTGTGATTGTAGTTGGCTCTAGCACCCTGGAACACACCCTTCTCATTGCCGGACAGCTGGATTGCACAGCATAGCTGGGCCAGCTGGCATTTACTACATTAAACTCAGCCACCTTGGGAAAACAGGCGGTGTTACTGGCACGTGGTGCACCTGGCACGTGGGTGCCCTGCCAGAAAGCATCAGGGAGAGACGTGGGCACAGGGTAGGTGCAGAATCCTAATGGGATGCTTTCTTCCCTTGCTCAATTTCTTTGGGTAGGAACAAATGAATCAGTTGTGCAGACAGTTAAATTCTCATCAGTAGTCTTCAGAGTAAACAAATTAGATGTGAACTCTGCAGACCTGTGCAGAGAGCACAGCACTGAGCCCCTTTCACTGTATATTGCGAGTATGCAGGCAGACACTGGGGTGGTACAAATCTGCATAGCTCCACTGGCAGGAAAACCAGCAAGCCAAAAGGTACACAGCAATCTAGGTGTACTCCTGTTTGTCTAGGAGCATCTGGAATAGTTCACTTAATATAAAGTGAAGAATTGCTACTAAAAGAGCGTGAGCTTCTTCCCCCCCCCCAGCTGTGGGTTGGACTTAAAAGGAGTTGTAAACGCTAACGTGATCTTTGGCCAAAATGTATTCTTAACTCCATCCTCAATTACGGCCGGACGTCATGGAGTATAGCAGAAAAAAATCCACAATAAATATTAATTATAACAATTCTTATTGTAAGAAAGATGATTTTTTTTTTTTTTTACAGTGAGAGCGATCAATCACTGGAACAACCTCCCCAGGGACGTGGTAAAGTCCCCATCACTGGAGGTTTTCACGATGTGACTGGACAGGGTGCTAGATAATCTCACTCAGGCTCCCTTTCCCATGAAAGGTTGGACCAGATGATCTTTTGAGGTCTTTCTGACTTGGGCTGTTCTATGATTCTGTGGTTAATACTTCTGTATTTCCTTAGCGCTGCTCAGCTTAGGATCTTGGCTCACTTTCAAAGACTCAGGTCTTGGAAGAGCCTGAAGGCAGTCGTGCCTTATCTCCATGTTGTAGATTTGTGTTGACCAAAGTCAGAATGGGATTCAGTGGAGGATGAAGGATTTAACTCAGGCCGTGTGCATCAAAACCTCTCTTGATGAGAACAGATCCTGCCGTTGGTTTGAGCCTGCCCAAAGCTGCTTGAAGATCCTTGCAACTATTGCAGTCCCTATGACTGGTGGTTTGAACTGGCTTCACTTCTTATGGCTGTCATGAGGTTAGACTAGATCTTCTGTGTAGACAAAACCCTGCTTACTGGTAAATCAGAACAACATTAATAGGGAATCGAAAAAGAAGAAAGTGTCAATCTAAGAAATGGCATTTTCCCTGTACAACTAGCAAATATTTTTTTTTAAAACTTGACTGTTTAATTCCAAGCTTACTGTGTTGTCTTTTATATTCACAGGCATATTTTGAAAACGATAATTCTGGGCCAGATGCTCTCCTTGTTTATCTGTGGGACTGCTGTTACAAGCCAGTACCTAGCAGAACAATACCAAGTGAATACTCCAATGTTTCAAAGTTTTATCAACTATTCTTTGCTTCTTCTAGTTTATACAACAATGCTGGCATTTAGGACTGGTATGTGAAATATGGGATGGGAGATTCTGGTTCATCTTTTTTTTTTTTTTTTTTTTTCCCCTTTTTTTTTTTTTTTTTTTTTTTTTTTTTTTTTTTTTT